ATCGTTGTGAGTTCAAGACCAGCCTGGGCAACAAAGTGAGCTCAAGGCCAGCCTGAACTGCATAGTGAGACCCTGTCTCAAAGAGACCAAAAAAAAAAAAAAAAATCATAGAGTGCGTAGAGATTCCTCAAAAACTAAATCCTAAATCTAGAGGTTCCATTCAATCCAGCTATTCTCCTTCTTGGTATCTTTTTGAAAGAATTAAAAGCACCACACCACAGCAATATGTGCACACCCATGTTTATAGCAGCACAGTTTGTAATAGCTAAGTCCTGGAAGCAGCTCAAATGCCCATCAACTAATGACTGGATAAAGAAGATGTAAGGGTTTTGTACAATGGAGTACTATTTAGCCATAAATAATGATAAATGAGACATTTCTAGGTAAACAGATGCACCCTGAGACCATACTCTTAAGTGAAACAAATCAAACACACTTGTGGAAATATTCCATTGTTTCTCTGGTGTAAGAAACCAAAAGTGTAAATAAAAACCAAAATGTATAATAGATATTGTGAAATGGAAAGAAAATGTTCAAATGAGAAGAGGACTAGGAAAGGGGGAAAGGAAGGGGGAAATCAAGAAAGGAAATAAAAATGAAAGCAAAGTGTTTGTAAAGAAGGATAGGAGGGGGGTTGAAGGGAGGGTAGGAAAAGGCAAAAAATAATCAAGATATATCAAGTACAGTACAAATTCCCTATGATGAATGTAATCATTATGTATACCTAAAATGTACTAATTAACTTAATTTTAAAAATCTTTATACGCTTTATCACTGAATGAATGAGTTGACATAAATGATGTAAATGAATAAGTTGACATAATTATAAATTAGTCTCTCAAGTCTTACAGATAAATACATACTATTAAATGCTAGACTAAGGGGCTGGGGATTTAGCTCAGCGGCAAAAGCGCCTGCCTGGCATGCGCAAGGTCATGAGTTTGGTTCCCGGTACCAGAGAAAAAACCAAAAACAAAAAAAAAAATTAAAAATAAAAAAAAATAAATGCTAGACTACTTGGAGAACTCTGTTTCAGACCCAAGGGTTATGAATTTGAAACACACATTAACATAATTACTATTAGTATTATTCTGAAAACCCCCACAAGAAGCTATTTGTTATGGTTTGTATCTGGATGTCCACCCAAAGCCTCACACAGTCATGGGGGGCAGGGTTTTCTGAAGCAACTGAATCTGGAGTTTGTGATAGATTCATTGTGTAGTGCTGGGATTGGGGGTGTGAGTGCTATACTCACCCTCGGTGGGTAGCCTGAATACAATATAAGGAATAGAAAGAGGCTTGCTTGCCCTCTCCTCAGCTGTTACTTTTGCTGTATTCTGCTGCTATGAACTGTTGCCCCTCTGCCATGCCTCCCTGCCTTGGAGCCAGCTGATTACATATTGAGACCTCCACAAACTATGAGCTAACTAAACCTTTCTTCCTTAACTTTGAGTATGGGATATTTTATCTCAGCAACAAGAGAAAAGTAACTAAGAAAAATTTGGTACCGGGAGTGGGGTCATTGCTGTGACTGTACCTGGTCATGTATGTGGTTCAAGAGACTTTGAGAATGGCTTGTGGAAAGAGTTTGGAAATGTTGGGAGATGCTGCCTGAAAAAGTAGAGCTGGAATGCCTTAGGCTGTTCTGCATGGGAGAGTCTGGTCCAAGCTCAGAAGACCAGCAGGCTTACAGAAATCCCGCTGGTAAAGACCAGGCTCAAAGGTTTCTGCTGGGAAGAAAGGTTGCATTGGCTGTTGGATTCCAGATGATATGTGTGTTATGGCCTGGCAGAAAGTTTGCCTGCATTTTGCTCATATCCATAGATTTTTCATGAGACTGAGATTAAGGGCAGTGGGCTAATCTTGTAGAATAAATTTGAAGGCAATTTAATATTGAGGCAGTGACATGGATACTGTTGGGGGCTTTTAGCCTGCTCTATGTTGAGAACAAAGAGCAGAGAGCCCAAAATGATTTAAAACATTACGAATTTGGCCAGAAAGGAAGCTCCAGTGAAGGTGTGGACTGTAAAGATAAAGCAGAGGACATCTAGATTGCTGAGAAGGAACAGAGGAATACAAAAGATGGCCTGAGGGCATCACAAAAAGCAGCAAGACTCCACCTTTTGCAGCCTCAAAATTACAAAAGTAAAAGGTTTAGCTTCTAGAATAAAACCACAGAGCACCATTTTCCATAATGGGGCAGCCAAACCATGTTCTAGAATGGTGGCAGCAGAGAGAATTTTTCCCTCAGAATTGGATTCAGAGTGGTCAGTGATCCAGGCTCTCCACCCCTACAGTCAAAAGAGAGGAAAGACTGGCTACTGCCCCAGCTGGCAGCAGCCTTGGCATCATCCACATGGCAATGGTTTTAGGTGTATGCAGAATAAAAGTGTTGTGGCATTAGGAAGGTTTCCAACTAGATTTGAGAAGGCCTGGGAGGCCAGACAATGTGGTCCTGAGAGAGCAACACATGAAGCTGTGAGTGTGAAGCAAAAGGTGCAGTGGACAGCCAAGAAGTCTGAAAACTCCAAGAACGTGCATCGTCTGAGGAAAACAGCAAGGAGGGAGTCCAGTGGGCCCAAGAGAGAATCCATGGGAGCTACAACCACCATAAGTGCTGTGGAACAGAGCCATCCAAACCCTTTGGAGTTCACATCTTGTGACAGATTGCCTCAGATGCTGCACATGCAACTGCAGAACTTTATGTTTTTCTTGCTGGATTTTGGACTTGTTTGGGTACCACTCCTTTGTATCCTCCTGTTTGTAACCTTTGGAATGAAAAGGTCAATATTGTCTGATTGAATGCTAGAAGTATTTACCTTACTTTTCATTTGTACAAGGACTCACAGCTAAGAGTTTGCCTTAAATCTCTGAGGTGACTTGAGTCTTAGAATTCTCAGCAATGCTGAAACTGTCAGGACTTTTGCAACTCTTAGAAATGGACTAAATGCCTTTGCATAAAGGGACGTGTATGGGTTTGTGGGGGCAGGGAAAGAATGTTATGATTTGTGTCTGGATGCCCACCCAAAGCCTCATGCAGTCATAGCAGGCAGGGTTTTCTGAAGCAAATGAATCTAGAGTTTGTGACAGGTTCATTGGGTAGTGCTGGGACTGGGGGTGTGAGTGCTACACTCACCCTAGGGGGTTATCCTGCATACAATGTAAGGAATACAAAGAGGCTTGCTTGCCGTCTCCTCAGCTGTTACTTTTGCTGTCCTCTGCTGCTATGAACTGTTACCCCTCTGCCATGCCTCCCTGCCGTGGAGCCAGCTAATTACAGGTTGAGACCACCACAGACTGTGAGCTAAATGAACCTTTCCTCCTTAACTTTGGGTATGGGGTATTTTATCTCAGCAACAAGAGAAAACTAACTAAGACATTATTTATAGGTTAATGTACAGTACACAGCAAAGAATATATACTATGTACTGTACTATGTATTATCTATTCTTTACTATGTACAGTACCTTCATACTGTAATGTACATTACATTCTTTACTATGTACAGTACACAGTAAAGAACAGATACTACACCACCCTGTGATGTAGCACAGGGTGGAGTGTTTATTTGCCTGGCTTGTGGAGCCCCTGGTTTCAGTCCTCAGCTCTGCAAATGAAAAAATAATTACAAAAAGAGAAAATATTCCTTTATTAGAAATAGAAAAAAGTAACCTAGGTTGTGGTATTTGGATTCCTTTTTTGAAGGATATCTATTCTTTCCCCTTCTCTTCTTCTTTTGTATGCTATTTCTCCTTGCTTCCCTTTACCACATAGTCCTAGGGTATGGACACCATCAATAATCAGTCTCAACTGTAGAGCTTCTGTGGGGTTATATAGGGTCAGGGTCAGAGTGGAGCAAATGTATATTCTTTATTAACTGTGGATTTGAACAAGTTGCTTCACTTTCTGTGCCTACATTATTCCATTTACAAACTAGGAATTATAATGTCAGCCTACAAGGTTGTCACAAACATTAAACTAAAATGAGCAAGAGAGTGAGAACTTTGCAGGGCACTATAATAAGTGTCACTGTCATCATTGTTATATGTTCTAAAGAAGCTTTCAAATGTATGAGAAACCTTGAGCTTTAGTCCTTGGCACATATAAAGACAGCATTAATAAAGGTTCACAGGGAAAAAAGAATAGAAAAAAGAAAATAATCATTTCACTTCAATTATCTCTTCACCCAACTTATAGGTACACTAAAATGGATATTTTTTAAATTATTAAAATATTGATTAGCCTGATTCTATTTTATAGAGGAAGCCATAGGTTTTTACCTGGTCTTTCTACTTTAATAACTTCTGCTCCAAGATCTCCCAAATTCATAGTAGCAAAAGGTCCCGCCAGTACTCTACAATGTTAACAATGATAAATGACCATATTGAAAATTGTTGTATTATTTTAATAGTCCATTAATATAGATAAGTTCATATAATATTAGTAAAAATCAAAATTGTTTAAAATGTAAACAATTTACATTTAAACAATGTAAATTAAATTAAAATTTAAACAATAAATGGTTTAAAATGTAAATAAATGTGTTTATAAAATTTGGTCATATATATCAAGAACTTTAAAAAAAAGTATCTTTTCTTTGATCCAATCATTATATTTCTAAAACTCTGCCCTGGGAAAGGAATTGAAACTGAGGTAAAGATTCATATGCAGGGAAGCTTAATTTATAGAAATGAAATTTTGGAACATATTATGTAATTATGACATCTATATCATAAAATGTCATAATTTTGAACAACACAGAAAAATATGCTAAATATACTAGTATGTTTAAGATTAGGGTAAAATTGATTTCAACATGGTTGCAATTTTTGTTTTTTACAATTACATATAAATAGGTAGATTGACAAAAATCACATTACAGTAATATTATCTCCTTTAATGACATTAAAAGAATTCTTTTGTTTTTTCCTCCAAAATTCCAATATATGCATGTAAGTGTCCCTTGTAACACAAAAAGTAAGTATAGTTCCCAATCAACAAAATGTAGATTATTGAAAACAAACCTTGTTAGATCCAGGATTTTTACACCCGCCAATGGCTTTACATTATCAGTATCTGGCAAAACACAGAAAACATTTGAAGAGTACTGATTACTAATTTTCAAAGTAAAGAAGACAGAATTTTCTTATTCTGTTCTAAATAATCTCTTTTACTATCTAAAATTATAATTTTTCTTCACAATGAATCTACTTTACATGCATCACAGAAACTTTGCACTGATCTCATTGAAAATCAATCTGTAAATATTAAAGCCTCTAAAAACAGATTATTCCCAATGACTAGAGTCCACAAATACACTGGAGATATTTTGTGGAATAAAAAACGAAGACTGAACTACACAAGGACATACACTTTTTAATTAATTTTATTGATACACTTTTGATATATACAATGATCACATTCATCATAGGGAATATGTACCTGTACATAATATATCTTGATTCTTTTTTCCCCATTCCTCTCTGTCCAATCCCTCTTCCCCTCTTTATTTACAAAAACCACATTTTGTTTTTTTCATTCTATTCTCTTTTTGTCCTTTTTCCTTCCTTCCATTAACCCTCCCCACTTCCTACTTCCCCTTTGCATTTGAACATTTTGTTCCTACATCCCAGTATCTGTCATTCTTTTTGGTCCTTATTTACACTTTTGGGTTCTCACATCAGAGAAATATGTGATATTTAAACATGTGTATCCAAATGATTTCACATAAGTGTATGGTCTTGTCTTAGTTACTTTTTTCACTGCTGAGACAAAATATGCAACAACCAAAAATGAAGGAGGAAAGGTTTATTTGGCTCATGGTTTGTAGAGGTTTCAGTCCAAAATCAATTGGCTTCAAGGCAGGGTGGCTTTGCAGAGGGCCATCAGAGGAACAGTTCATGGTCACAAGATAATAAAAGGACAAGCCTCTTCCTCTCCCTTATATTGTATGCAGGCTACCTGCCCTGGGGCAGGTGTAGCACTCACAACCTTAATCCTAGCCAGAATTATGCCAAACCAATCAGTGGACCGATTAACTAATCACACACTCTTGATCCCAGCACCATACACTCTAGATATAGACATCTGAAAATCTGCACCCCCATGACTGCATGACATTTTGGGAAGACATCTAGGCACAAGCCATAAGATGTCTCAAGGTGCATCCGTTTAGCTAGAAATGTCTCAAGTTTATACTGTTTATAGCTGAGTATACTCCATTGTATATAAATACCGCATCTACTTTGTCCATTCATCAGTTGATGTACATTTCGGCTGTTTCCAAGATGTAGCTATTCCAAATTGTGCTATAAACATAGGTGTGCATATATCACTCTGGTATGATGCTTTTAACTCTTTAGGAAAGATACCAAGAAAGGGAGTAGCTGAGTCAAGAGGAACATCTAGTTTTAGTTTTCTTAGAAATCTCCACACTGATTTCTATATTGGTTGTACCAATTTACCCTCCCACCAACAGTGTAGAAGGGTTCTTTTTCCCCACAGCCTCACAAGCATTTGTTGTTGGTTGACTTCTTGATAATTGCCATTCTTTCAGGACATGGAATCTCAGTGTTGTTTTAATTTGCATTTCTCTAATGGCCAGTGATGTTGAACTTTTTCCATACATTTATTTGTAATTCCTACTTCTTCATCTGAGAAGCATTTATTGATTTCAGATGCCCATTTTGGGGTCTTCAAATTTGGGGGTGTCTGATTTTTTTAGTTCTTTATATATTGTAGACATCAGTCTTTGTCTGAGGAATAGCTGATAAAAAAATTTCCCATGCTGTGAGTTCTCTCTTCATTCTGTTGGTGGCTTTTCTTGCTGTGAAAAGCTTTTTAGTATAATGAGATCCCAGTTAATTCTTTGTAGTATTTCCTGTGGGATCAGAGTTCTATTCACAAAGTCTTTGCCTACACCATTGTCTCAAGAATTCTACCTATTCTATCTTCCAGCAGATTTAGTGTCTCTGTTTTACTATTTAGATCTTTGATCCATTTTGATTTCACTTTAATAAATGATGAGAGAGATGGGTCATTTTAATCTTCATCGTGTGGAAGCCAGTTTTTTCACATCATTTATTTTAAAAGCTATCTTTCTTCCAGTAAATGTATTTGCCTCTTTTGTCAAATATAAGGTAGCTGGGGGTTCCCCGGAAGGAGGGCTTCCGGCACACAGGGAGCTGCAGGTGGGGAGCGCCAGCCTTCTGGCTGGCTAGCTTCCTGCCTGCTGGCTCCCTGAGGGTGGGCCCCTAGCGCACGGGGAGCCTCGGGCGGGGAGCACCGGTCTTTGGACCAAAGACTCACTCCCGGCCTC